ATATATATAGTAGTCTGTGGCATGATGCTTTTAATTCTTTTGGGAAGATATCCAGCAGGGAAATATCTGGGTCAAATGGGACCTCTAATCCTAGTTCTCTGAAGTGTCCCCATACTGATTTCCACAGTGGTTACACCAGTCTGCACTCCCACAGTGGAGAAGGGTTCCCTTTCCTCCACAGTCCCACCAGCATTTATTTATTGGTTAATTTCATGATAGGAGCCCTTCTTTCTGGGGTGAGGTGAAATCTGTGTTGTTTTTATTTGCATCTCTCAAATGACCAGTAGTGGTGAATATTTTTTCACATGTTTATTTGCTATTTCTACTTCTTCATCTGAAAAATGCCTGTTCATTTCAGATGCCCACTTTGAGATAAGTCTTGAAATTTGGGGGGGATCTGATTTTTGAGTTTTTTGTGTATTTGAGTTTTAATAATTAAAAAGTGCAAACATGTATTATTGATACATATTGGCAATTGAAAGCAAATTCATAATATTAATCAAATATTTAAATTTGGATTTGATAGTTTTATTTCTTAAAAAATGTTTTGTTTTTTTTTTTTTGAGACAGGGTTTCACTATGTAGTTGAGACTGACCTGGAACTCACTATGTAGCCCAGGCTGGTCTTCCACTCACAGCGATCCTCCTGCCTCAGCCTCCAGAGTTCTGGGATTACAGGCATGTGCCACCATGCCCTGCTCATTTCTAAAAATTTATTCCAAATTTATCCTTGTACATGTAGACAAAGGTAAATGTTTAGACTATTAACTGTTACTGTTTTGTTTTAGTCAAAAATTGGAATCAATCTACATGTGCATCAATAGTCAATTGGTTAAACAAATGCACCATCACCCACATAATGAATCATTGCAGTATCAAGAAAATATGTCCAGGGCTGTTAATGAGTGGGCCGTGTAGTGTCCACAGTGCAGAGGAGTGGGAGTGGTAGTCTGCCACCAGATAATTTTGGTTTAATTTACCAGCTCTATCACTGGTTTTCTCGGTGAGCACAGGAAGTTATTCTTTCATCAACAAAATGGGGGAATAATACTAAAGTCTATTTCACAGAGTTGTTGAAAGAATTATAGCAGATGAAACAAGTTAGTCTTTTAGTGTTTGTCATATAAAAATAGGTGACACGTGATGGCACACTGACAGCACATAGAGCAGTGTGTACAGACTAGAAAACGAGGGTTATGTATGCATGAATTATGTAAAAAGTTTGGCAAGCCTGCTCAAATGCTACTTACCATAGTTGTTTATACACTTTCATTGTGTAATCTTTGTTATTACTTTTACAATTTCTAAGATTATTTTAAGAAGAAGTCCCATGTATATGATGAGGTTAATATCCAAGATATTCAAAGAAATCAAATACTTTAATAGCAAAAAGTCAAATAATTTGGACAAAAACAGACGGAGGACTTAAATGGACACTTCCCAGAAGAAAATATAGAAATGGCCAACAATTATAAGAAAAGCTACTCAATATTGCTAATCATTAGCGGAATGCAAACTAAAATTACAATGAGATATTGCAGCATACCTGTTAAAATGATGGCCATCAAAAAGACAAACAAATCAAAAGTGTTGATGAGAATATGAAGAAAAGGAATGGTTATATATCTGTCAGTTAGGATGTTAATTGAAAAATAGTATGGACATTTCTCAAAAAATTAAAAATGGAAGTACCATATGATCCACTAACCCTAATTCTGGTTGTTCAACAAAAGGAGGTGAACAATGTGAAATAGGAAGAAAAGGGCTAAAGGTGTAGGGAAAGTGGGAAGGGTGGGGGAAAGGTAAAAAGGGAAAAGAAAAAAATAGGAGAAAATGAAAAAACAGAAATGAAGTGCTTGCAAATGGGGAGGGGAGGAGGGGTGAAGGGAGGGCAGGGACAAAGGGAAAAAATGAGAACCAAGACCTGTCATGTAGAGGTACAAGATCCCAATAATGAATGTAACTGTACTGTATACCTGAAATGACCAATAAACTCAATAATAAAAAAAAACAAAAACAAAAGGAAGTGAATTATCTGCACTGCTCAAGGAATTATCTGCACTCCTATGTACATTGTAGCATTATTCAAGGTAGTAAATATATAGAAACAATCTGTCCATAAAGTGTCTGTTGATGGATGAATGGATAAAGAGAACACGATGAACACAGATGCACACTCTAGAATATTATTCAGTTTAAAAAACAAAGAAATCTTGCTATTTGAGAAAATCTGGTTGAACTTGAGGGACGTCATGTTAAATGAAATCAGGAAGGTATAGAACAACAAATAGGGCATGATCTCAGTGTAACCACACTTCTTGAGCAATGGAGTGAACTGTCTAGAGAAAAGTGTTTGTGGAAATTGAGTGAGAGCATAAAGAATAGGATAATATTACTTAATTCTCATTATTATTTAGTAATTCATAATTTTGTGCATGAAGATTTCACAATATATTTTAAGAATCCACTTACAATTTCCTACTGTTTAAATAGATATTAAATGACCATTGATTCTCTTTTTTTAAAAAGGTATCATTAAAATAGAGTATAAAGGGCAAGAAAAGAGGAGACAAGAGAAACCAGCTAAATAAATTGTATTTCACTTCATTAAAATTGTTCATACTTTTGGGGTGTTGGAACTCGTACATTGTTTACATTAGAATTCTCGCACCTCATGAAGTTCAAGTATGTGTCAGCTAGGAGGGAGAATGACTAAAACAGTTCCAATAATTTGGGTTGTTATTACCTCTGTATACTTTTATTTTCCTTTTCTTTTTCTTTTAATTTATTTTTTTGGTACTAGGGATCAAACTCCGGTCCTTGCGCTTGCAAGGCAGGCAGCGGAACCACCGAGCTAAATCCCCAGCCCACTTCTGTTGACTTTTAATAACTTCTTCTCCTGCTAATTGTGTTTCTTGGCAAATCTCTCCTAATCTAGAAATCTTGAAATACTGATTTATAACTTAGTGCTTCTTTTTGAAAGAGGATGAGGGTTAAACACTGATATTACCTGTTCAGAGATCATTCTACTTTGAATGTTTACCTAGTGTTTGCCTTATATCAGACAACCATCTGTGACGGAGTCAATACCAGAAGAGGAGGAAAACCAGCCGTGGCTGAGGTTACACTCCAACTGGGAGAATGCCAGGGGGACCACTCTGCACAAACTTTTGGTACCCGGGTAAGAACTGTTTCATAAAAGCTGTGTGAAGTCACATTGTGAGGCAAGAGTTTTATCAGCGGGGTCTTCCTTCTGTTTTTTTTTTTTTTTAACATAAGATAATCCAAATTTATTACATCAAGAAAGAACTTCCATGGAATGTCTATTGGTCTTTCAACAATGGTTTATTTTTTTCTTTCGAGGCATAGATTTTTTTCTTTTGGCTAATTACAGCTTTCTTTAATCATAATTACAGAACATATCATGATTACAAGAAGGTGCCTGTTTTCTAATCTTGGGGTTTTTTCATATCCTACTTAAAATAAAGTCTCATTCATGTCTGAATTTCCTATAGATGCTACATGGAATTAGCAGAGGAAATTAAAGTAATCTTAACTAAAAGCTTGGAATGGACAAGAACAGAATGGACACAAAATAAAATCATATCGTGTAGCCTTGAACGTATAAGGTTCCTCCCTCAAAATCATGTCATCATAGCCCAATGTGGTGATACACACCTGTGATCCCAGCACTCTGTAGGCTCAGGCAGGAGGATTGGAGAGTTTGAGTTCAGCTGTAAGAAAGTGAAAGTAACATATTTAGGGATTTTTTTTTTTAATCTGAGAGATTTAGGATTCTGAGCACATCACACTATTAGTGTGTCTCAAAGTACTTTCTTTTCACTTTCACTTACATTGTGAATAACTATTTCATGGCTGGTAAAAGAACTTAGTGATTAAATTTAACCAATCTGAATTCTCTTGCACAACCACATTGAGAGAACCTTGAACACAGACCATGTTCTTGGATTCAAAATTCCCTGAGATTAAAAAAAAAAAACAAAAAAAAAACCAAACCAAAAACCTCTTCCTTTCCTGAATCACACTCCCTGTAATTTCTATATATTAGCTCTGCTCATGCCATCTAGTGTTATATAGAGTCAATTTAGTTCCTTGTTCCTCTTGCCAACTCCTCATAATTTAACCCTGACAGTTTTGGGTAAGATTTTTCTGATCTCAATATTCCATTCCTTTACCTGTTCTTTAAATTTTTTGAGCGATATTTTGTTTTTCTTAGACAATTTCTTAATTTTGGGGAGGGAGCATTTCCTTCTCCATACGCACAACCATCTGACATGCTCTATCCTTACCAAAGATTTTAAGAAATAGCCTAGTTCCTCACCCTTTTCCTACCTTAAGAATCATACATAGTTTGAGTCAGTGTTGTGGGTAGTCTCATTAGTCAAGATGTGGAAATATTTTAAAAATAATTTCTCTTCCTACAAGTATGAAATTATGTTATTATGATATTAAGGAAGCTAAAATAAATGAAAGTACACTATCTCTATATGCCTCCAACGTGATACCTGACAACAGTTCTGCCTTGGAAATTCCTGTAACAAAAATAATTATTTCTCAAAGAGTATGACTTCCCCTAACAGTTGAATCTATGTCTTACCTTTCCTTGGCAAAATATTTGAAGCGAATGAGAAATATGTGATTCGGTGTCATGCTATTTTATGTTTCCACTTTTAGGCAGTCTTGTCCCAGCAGAAATAAGATCTCTCTTCTGTGTACTAAAGAAGGTGAGAAAATTGGTGGGGTAGCAGTGGGATAGGAACTTAACTGGATTGGCTGTGGGGGAAAATGATCACTTGTTTGGAAGAGCTAAGAATTTGGCTGGGGTTAGCCGGAGTGGTTGGCAGTTCACGAGCCTTCTGCTTCTTGGCAGATTGTGGGCGCCGCCCTGCTGCCCGAATGAACAAGAGGATCCTTGGGGGTCGGACAAGTCGCCCTGGAAGGTGGCCTTGGCAGTGCTCTCTGCAGAGTGAGCCCAGTGGACACATTTGTGGCTGTGTCCTCATTGCCAAGAAGTGGGTTCTGACTGTTGCCCATTGTTTTGAGGGGTAAGCTATACCTTTTCCTTCTTTTTTTTTTTTTTTTTTTTTATTTCTTGGT